GTAGGTATGTGCGTGCGTGTTAGAACGAGCCATTTTAGGTGTGGCTGATTCTTAACTTTGATAAAGAATATCTCTTTGGATTTGAGACTTTAGTCTTTGCAACTTTACAGATCTTCTTTATGCACCAAGAGCTTGTAACACTCCAAAGAGAAAGGAAGACTTGAAATCGCATCATATGACCCCTTTAAGAACATTTATGTTAATTTTTCAATTAAACATTTTAACCCAAATTGCATTAGTCGTAACAATTGTATTTACAAAATGTACTAAAAACAAATGTACCATGGAAGTGTATTGACTAGAGGACAAGGCAGTATATTATCAATCTCAACCAATTAGTTCTGTAATAAAGAAAAGTTTTATAATGGCATTTAGATCAGTGTGAAGAGAGCAGCACTAGTGAAATTATCAATGCCGGCTCAAAAACAGCAGCAGATGTGCGGGGATACTACAGCTCGACATGGACGTGACCTTCTCTTGATGACTTCATTAAAAGCTGCTCATCACAGAGAGCAGCAATTGGCCGCCGCAGTCCGAGCACAGACAGGGTCTGGCCTCACTACTCAGATTTTTCATCACAGGAAGCAGGAAGGCATCTGACAGCGATGCCAAGTTTTTGTCAAAGAAGCTCAGAACAAGCAGTGGGTTCTGGACAATATCCACCAGAATGACAAGGACGAGGCCTGCTCTAAAAATACTACACAGTGGGAGTGAATGCGAGGGAAACTGAGTTGAATCGTGGGATGGGCTACAAAAATTTGAGAGAATGATTACTGGCCATGGAGACCTTCAGCAAAAAGTGCTCTAGCATTGCTCCTGTCCACTTTCTCTGTGCCAGACCACATTCCCATGATGCAATGTTCTTCTGTTTGAAGCCCAGATTATTGTATTTCTTCAGTTGAGTGTATGTTATTCTGGCTGTTTTTCCAGTATAGTGTGAAGTCTGTCAACTGGATCTCGTTTTCTACATTCAAATTATGTAAATCAGTACATGTATAATGTTAAAAACACATTAAAATACTCACAGTACGATTTCCATATCGGTGGCTGATAATCTTCAGGATCTACAAAAAAAGGAAAATATAATAAAACAATGTCAGGATGTCTTCTGTTATGTGCTACGAACATGTGTTAAAATAACCATCTCTTGTCAGCTTGTTCTCACTTAACACGGTCTATGATATTTACTGTCAGGTTAGAGAGGGGCTGTGATCCAAGGTTATATTGTTACATTAATGTTAAGTTGTTCTGTAAGCTGTGATGCGTAATGCGCATGGCTGACAACATAATCCTTCCTGTACAATCCCCTCAGGGGCTTTCTTTCATTACAAATAAATCTTTCAATAATAATAGGGAAACTAAATGAATAAATCTTTCATTTAGTTTCCCTGCTCAAGGACAATAAATATACAAATGTGTTTGTGTAACACTCTTGTACAAGTAAAATACACACAGACCCCTTTCATCATGAAGCAGCAAATGTTTTTTTTAAATTTAAAACACATGGGCTGTCAATCAATTATACATTTTAATCAAATTAATAACAATACATGCAGATAAATTAACCAAATGAATCGCATATTTAAATATCTAGTTGTTTTTTAACTTGGGCAGATGAAATGGAGCGATAATCTTTTTCACAGTTTCACATATTAAAGGAATACTTCATCCAAAAATGAAAATACCCTCAGGTTATCCAAGATGTGCATGAGTTTGTTTCTTCATTGGAACAGATTTGGAGAAATGTACAATTACATCACTTGCTCACCAATGGATCCTCTGCAGTGAATGGGTGCCGTCAGAATGAGAGTCCAAACAGCTGATAAAAATAATAAATACACACATAATTCACATGACTTTAGTCCATCAATTATTGTCTTATGAACTGAAAATCTGTGTGTTTGTAAGAAACAAATCTATCATTATTGCATTTTAACTTTAAACCATCGCTTCTGGCCAAAATACGCATCCATCATCCATAATAACACTTCCTCCAGTTAAAAATGTCCCCCGTTGTCCTCTCACATCAAAATCCACCAACATATTTGTTTAGAAACTGTTTTGGACTGTTCTCTCTTGAAAATGGTGCTTGATCTGTGCATATTTCTCTCCTAATTCAGATGAGACCACTTTTTCACTGGCGAAAGCGATATTATGGATAGACAATTCCTATTTTAGCCTGAAACAACAGTTTGAAGTTAAAACTTCTTTATGATGGATTTGTTTTTTACAAACACTCAGTTTTTCACAAGACGTTTACTGATGGACTGGACACATATGGATTATTTGTGGATTATTGTGTTGTTTTTAGCAGCTGTTTGGACTCTCATTCTGACAGCACCCATTCACTGCAGAGGATCCACTGGTGAGCAAGTGGACCAATGATAACCTTCTCCATATCTGTTCTTATTAAGAAACCACCTCGTCTACATCTTGGATGGCCCGAGTGGGAGTAAATTTTAATATGTGATATAATACTTCTATAGTTATTGACACGTTACACCCAAATACAGCTCCATTCTGTATATGTATATTCATGTTTGTAAATTAGTTGTAAATTTGTCTCAGAAATGCTCTTCCAGCGTATATCTAACTTCAAATAACATTATGGTAAATACTCTCTAAATAGGGTGCGATAAATGAATGGTGAAGCGGCACTTAAAGTAAGCAAGTAATTTCTCTAAGAAATGCAAGTCAGAGCCTGACAGGGTTCAAATGGCTGTTGAACAGACAGTCTGGATATGCAGGTTAATTTGCATACATTATGCATACTAATCAGAATAGCAGCCCTGTACTCCCAGAGAAGACCATTTAAAACAGAAACAGAAGAACACCTTGAAACGATATTTTAATGCAAATAACTTACTGTTAATTTAGCATGTTAAATGAGTGCAGAAAATTACTTTAAAAAAATGAGCTAAGAAATTAACATATTTAATCATGTCCTCCTAAACAGTATGCAAGTTATGGACATATTTCTACCATCTGAGCAATTTAAGCTTGAAGTACCAGTGCAGGACATGGGTTTGGGAATTCTGCAGTCAGCACAGGTCCAGCTGCTACTAAAAACCACACTGAGTGAGTAAGGAGCCATTCACATAGGACATATTTTTAGATCCAAAAACTGTTTGCAGGGGTCTTGATGCGTTTTCAATGCCCATATGATGCATATGAACACAGACCAACAAAAATGGCACAGACTGGTCAGCTGTGGACTGTCCCTTGTGAAAAAAAAACGCCTCAACATTTAAATAGTTATATATTTATTAAATTAAAGGCCACATAAGTGTACTTAGAGAGAGCACACTTTCCTGACAGTTTCTTAACACTTAAATGCACTTTGTATAATGTTAAAATCACGTTTTTACTTTAAAGGACATTTTAAGATATGTTTTTATCGTTTGTCATGCTTTACAGAAGTTAATATACAGTGGGGAAAATAATTATTTGATCCCCTGCTGATTTTGTAAGTTTGACCACTTACAAAAAAAATTAAGGGTCTATAATTTTTATGGTAGGTTTATTTTAACGGATAGAGAGAATATCAAGCAAAAAATCCAGAAAAAACACATTATATAAAGGTTATAAATTGACTTGCATTTCAGTAAGTAAAATAAGTATTTGATCCCCTACCAACCAGCAAGAATTCTGGCTCCCACAGATTGGTTACGTGCCCAAGTGGAACACAGATTA